TATTCTTTTAATAATGGTACGTGTTGATATTCACTCGCAAACAAAAGACACAATTTTTAAGGTTTATAATTATTTAAAAAAAATTGTCGAAAGACCAAACGAACCCCGAAGTTGCAAAATATTTTAGCCTACCTCAATCAGTTACTGCGGAAGCATGTGGAGTCAGCCTTAGTTCCGTAAAAAGAATAACGAGTGAAGGTAATAAATCGATCGCCAATGCAGAACCAGAGGCCGGCCCTTAAAATCCATCATTTACTTCTCCACGTAAACAATATAAGCGAGTCAAATATGCAACGGACATTGACGACATTGATGCGGATATTGTTCGTAGAACTATCCATGAGTTCTACGACAATCTTGAGTATCCTACATCAACTAAATTGCTGAGTAAGTACCAAGAAAAAACTGACTATAAGGGATCCAAAACTTCTATGTGGCGAATTTTAAAGTCGTTACATTTCAAATATAAGAAATGTAACGATGGTAGAAAATTTCTTATGGAAAGAAATGACATAGTTGCAATGCGCGTAAAATTTTTGAGAACTATGTGTAATTTACGTCAAAATAATGACACTCGCCCTGTCGTTTATCTGGACGAGACCTGGGTTAATCAAAACCATACTCGCGGGTACATATGGCAGAACGAAAAAAATTCTGAAGGGTTGAAGGTGCCTACTGGAAAAGGGAGTCGTTTGATTATCTGCCATGCTGGGTCAAGTTCATTTGGATTTGTAGCAGGTTCAAAATTAGTGTTCCGTTGTCAATCTGGTACAAATGTAGACTACCATACCCAAATGAATTCGTCAATATTTAAAGAATGGTTCATTAAAATGTTGAACCATTTGGAAGAACCATCCATTATCGTTATGGACAACGCGTCATACCACTCCACTTTAACAGTAAGTTACCCGAAGTCAAACGCGAGAAAAGCGGATATCCAACAGTGGTTATCCGATAAAAGTATCGATTTTTCTCCACTTGAAACTCTGAGTGAGTTACGTGAACGGGTAAAAGCTGCAATGCCCAGAGAAAAGGAGTATAGACTCGATGGCATTGCATTACAAATGGGACATTCGGTTGTACGATTGCCACCATACCACTGTCAGTATAATCCCATCGAGCTCATATGGGCTCAAATCAAAAATAAGGTTACCGAATTGAACACCACATTTGAAATTGCCGATGTCGAAAAACTTGTAAACGAAGTCATAGACTCGGTTACGGTCGAAGATTGGAAGCGTTGTGTCAAGCACTGCGAAGAATTGCAAGAATCAGATTTCATAAAAGAAGGTTTACGTGACGAAATTTTAGAACCAATAATAATAACAATAAATCCCGATGAAACCAGCGACAGTGAAGATGACGACGAAGACTTTTAATTATTTTTACTTAACTAATTTTTTTTAATTGTTATAACCCTTGTATTTTTTTTTATAAATATTTTTCAAACTAATAACAAGGAATAAAATTTTAATTGTTATTTGATACTTATTTGTGTTAATTAATTATTCATAGTAGTTTTATTATTTATTGAGGTTATGAATAATATGTATATAAAATTATATGATATAAATATATAACATATTGCTAAATAATATATTTTTTCACAAATAAAAATATTAAATAATAATGCACGTAATAATAATAATTGTTATTACGTGCATATTAAAATGTACGTATAATTTCAAATTTACCGCGCAAATGAAAAGTTTGATCGACACTGAAATTCAAAAGTTTGTCCACCGGTAGCGCTGGAATCGAGTCTCTTATTTCGTGAAACGCACTATAGTCTCTGCTTTGCGTTGTAGAATGCATATCTTGATGCGAAGTACGATTTCACTGGCTTGTAATAATTGTTTAACAAACCTAATAGTGTGTCGTATGTCTGAACGTCTGGTTTGGCTGAAACGCATAAACTGAATAATATTTTGTGAACTTCCTCACTAATTGAAGATAGTAGTATAGCTCCCTTCTGGACTTCGTTACTTATTCCGTTTGCAATGAAAAAATTTGTAAGTCTTGATTCAAATATTGTTATGTCGTTTCCAGATTCAAATGTTCCTGGTGAACCAATTATATTATGGAATTGAGTAATATTTTTGTTATCCTCACCCATTTTATAAATATTTTAATTTAATATGAGATGAGTTTTAAAATTTTTATCTTCGTCGCCAATTTGTTGTGTATTGTTAATATGAATAATAACACAAACGTATATTATAGTCTTTTATTGTGAAAAGTATAAAACGAACTGACGTACATATAAAATTGTCTACTTGCTAATGACCGATGGACAATCCCCACCGATCGTAATATGAGACTTATGATTATTATTATTAATATAAACATTTAGTATACAATGTAAATGCTGAATATGCAACAATGTCAAAAGAAACTATGTTTCCCATGTTAATAATCGTTCATGTACTTATAGTTACTCTGTTGCTATTGATAATGTGCAAATAAAAGTTTGTAGAAAATGTATTCTAAACACATTGAATAGGTATATATAAAAAGCTGCTAAGGTATACTTGAGATCATAAGTCTGACTTATTTTCTACTAAGCCAGATAATAGAGGTAGACAACCTCCAAAATATAAAACACCACTTATCCAAATGGAGTATGTTGATAAATGTATTGAAAAGTTGCCAGCGGTTCCATTGCATTACTGCAGAAGTTCAAGCAATACAAAATACATAACTAATGATTTCCAAATTTTAGAACATGTATGCAGGGTTTATTTAGAAGATTGTAAATAAAATAATGTTTTAGCTGTTATTAGCCTTTTCAGTGCCCATGACACACCGGTGCGTTATTACAAAACACAATCCACACGCCCATGACGCACCCGTGCGTTTCATATGATTGTTCAATATATAATATTGATAAGAATATTTGACTGGTACTGCCATCTAGTGCTCGTTTTGACGAATTCAGTGTTTTTTTTTTTTTTTTTTTTATCACAATTTTCAAAGATTTTATTGAGGAGATAATCAGTTTTTTCTTATAAGGGGTTATCAAACTTTTGTTTTTATAAAATATGTTTGTTTATTATTTTTACTAATGAATAATATTGTAATTTTCATTTTTAAATTTTTGATTCTGGCGACATTGGTTTAATTTTTGTTGTTTATTTCAACTAATAAATTGAATAATTATTGATTCATTATGTCTCGTGGTATGAACGATGATGAAATATTAACTGAATTAGATGAACTTTTAGCAAATGCGGAATCTGACGACGAATTTGAAATTGATGGTAAATATTTTGATTATTATTATTTTCTTATTTACAATAAGGGAATAAGTTACAGGTAGTCATCATAAAATCATTATAATAATGATTGCTTTAGTAATTATTACTTGTATTTATAAAAGGCAATAAAGTATATCCTACATATTATTGTAGTGTAATACTGGTAAATAATACTGTTATTCTAGTTAATTTATTTTTTTTATATATTTACATAGATATGTTTCCACATGATGACATATAAACTTTGGATACTCAGTGTGATGACGATGAAACATTTGAAATGGATATTGAACCAGTTCAATCGCCTACTACATCAGATATACAACCAATTACTTGTACTCAAAGATCAATTAAAAATGTAAAAAAAAAAACTAAAAGTAAAAACTAAACCAAAAGCAAGAGGTAGATTGACTACACCAAATTTCAAATGGAAAAGAGGACCATTTCAACCCAAAATTCATCAGTTTGACCCAAGTGTAAGTGGTATAAAAAAAATTGAGTTTGATCTCAATGAAAATTCACCGATTATTGATTTTTTTGAATCATTTTTTACACCATCACGATACAACATCTGAGGAAATGTATCTGTTTACTGCTATAAACATGCTAATGGCTAGGAACAAAAAACTAGGACTTCGTGAATACTGGTCAACTGATTCATTACTTTATACACCTATATTTGGTCAAATTATGAGTAGAAACAGATTTCAGATTCTACTTCGGTATCTCCACTTTACCAACAATGATCATCAAGTAGCTGGTGATAGACTGTACAAAATACAAATGGTACTAACTGAAGTCAAAAAAAATTTCCGAGATGCTATGGTTAAATTTCAAAACCTTGTAATTGATGAAAGTCTACTTTTGTGGAAAGGTAGGCTCTCTTTCAAGCAATTTATTCGCACTAAAAGACATCGTTTTGGTATAAAATTCTTTATACTATATGACGTAGAAACCGATTTTATATTAGATTTCATTATATATACTGGAAAAACTACAGATATAAAAGCCTGTGATATAAATCTTGGACAATCTGGAGCTATAGTATGTACATTGTTGGAAGGATATTTGAAAAAAGGTCGAACATTATTCACTGATAATTGGTATACTTCACTATTACTTTCCACCTATCTACATAAAAATAAAACTAACAGTTGTGGGACTGTCCGAAAAACTCGAAGAGGAATGCCAGGGCTCAAAAATAAACTTAAAGTTGGTGAAACACAAAGTTTGCATACTACTAAAATGTTAGCAATAAGATGCTTGGACATGGTTGGATTATTTCGATGACGAAACTACGGCAGATGTGTCCCACGCGCCTCGTCACACTGAGAGGTGACCTGGGGTGGCCCGCGAGATCACTGGATTTGAGCATTTGCGATTTTTTCCTGTGGGACTACCTCAAGGAAAAGGTCTTCAAACACCGTCCTCACACTTTGGAAGAACTGAAGACCCGAATTAGAGAGGAAATCGCCTCGATTCCGGTCGATATGTGCCAGAAGGTGGTGGAAAACTTCAAAAACACCTCCATCAATGCATCGCTGCTGGAGGTCATTATCTTGCTGATGTGATCTTCAAAACTTAAATAAAAAAAATGGGATGTACTACTGAACCAAATAAAACAAACCGCATTTTTTTTTTAATACTCCTTCAAAGCTACACTGTTTGTTTTGCGCCATCCTGTATTATGGAAATGAGTTATATTTTTGTTATCCACACCCATTTTATAAGTATTTTAGTTTAATACGAGATGAGTTAAAAAAAAATTCTTCATTTACAGTTTGTTGATTAGTTGCATTGATATGAATGCAATAATTAAACGTTAATCAGTATAACTGCAGTTTATAGGTATGAATGATTATAACGTGTTTATTGTAGAAACAACATAAGTAAACTGAATATCGTGCAAGGCAAACACGTCGCGTCTGGTAGGATAACCCCCCACCATATATATATATATATATAAACATAATTTAATACGTAACAGGAGGCCTTGGTTATAGGGTTTTTTCTGCCATCAAGCCCAGACCCATTAACAGACAATACTAAGTTTCACTTGGAAATGGCTCAATTATCACCAACATGTCATTTACCGATTTTTTAATCATTTACAAACTCCAGCCAAACTTCTACAAGCTTTTGGGCTTTATCAAATATGGGGTCATCCTACTATCGATCAAATAGAAGGATTTGACAAATTGAAGTCAGTGGCATGTAAACCACGGGCGATTGACAAGGAAATGATAAAACTGACAACTAACAAATGGAGAGAATATTTTTGCACTAATTATTATACGAGGCATAAAAAATGGCCCAGTATGACAATTCTTGATGATTCTACGTTGGAGAGAATGGGAGGACTAAGTTATTTATTGAATCAATTGAGACAAGCAGCTGAGAACACCGGGAGTGTTAAATTGGGAATTTATAAAATTTGAGAATCCTAACCTTTGATGTTCCTAGTAAGTTTGAATTGTCAGAAATGATCTCTGACCAATCAATGTCTCATGATGAATCCACTTTGAGGTACAGTTATCAGAATAAAGCGACCATAGGGGGTTTCTCATGAAAGATCCGTCATTATTCAATGGCTCATGAACAATTACAATGATCCTGTGGCGAACCAGTGCCTTCGCCACATACTCCCTCCCCATGTCGGTCGAGCTCCCTGCGTTGGCAACACCGCTCGGCCCTCCGCGTCGTTCGCGACCGCGAAGTGTCGGGCGGCCGCCAACGGTCTCTCGCTCGGCAACCGTCAACCGACGTACACGACACCGTCTCGAATACCGCCGCCATCTTTTTGCCACTGGCAAAAGTACTCAGCAACACGACCGCAGGTCTCCCTCGAGTACACGGCCCGTAACACACTCTCATCGCGTAAAGAACCCGACCCGTGCGTCGGAACAGAACATCGCTGTTAGTGACCGGCATGGCCTCATCTCACCTTGTAATATTTACGTCCGTCTAATTACAATAAATATTTATCAACTTCAAGCCGTCTCAGAGCACATTTATTTCGTACCTTGCGTATGTTGGCCGCGTAAGTTGTTACAACGCTAAAACCTACGCGCGCCACAATCCTATAACATTTTTGAGAGACATCGATGAAAATGGATTCGGACCTGAGGAAGTTGTGGTTGGGGTTCACCCGAAAGAAAGCTATGTTCACAAGGTAGATATTTCGGATTATTAACTCTTAAAAAACACCTATGTTGTTGTCTCTGAGGCTTTGTTGGCAGAGAACATTCTCCTTTATTTTCCCGAAATCACAATGATCATGGAGGCGATTTCCCTCAACAATAGGATGTTTCAGAACACCAAAGGACAATCATTCTCACAATTTTCTAAAGACAAATATTGCTCCATAGTAGTCAATATGGATTTCAACAAATGGAATAGTTTCATGAGAAGAGAAGAAACAGATGGAATTTTCTCTGATTTTGGCAATTTATTTGGTTTCAATAGAGTTTTTACCAGAACTCAAGGCATGTTTAAACTGCCTACATTATAAATTGCAGATGGGACTTTCACACCTAAATTTGATTGTGGCACAGGCATCATGCAAGAAAGTGATTATTCTTGGAGAGGACATATCGGTGGGATAGAAGAACTGAGACAAAATGGTTGGACCATATTTACTGTGACCATACATAAATTGATTGCTGAAGAGTTTGACATAAACTGCCAATTGATGGGACAGGGTGATAATCAAGTGTTAATTTGTAAGTATCCTAAAAATAGCTCACACACCAGACAAATTCATGAAGAATTTATAGATAGTTTAGAGCTCATACTTAAAAAAATAGGGCCGCCTTTAAAGGCGCGTGAAACCTGGATGTCAAGTGTCTTCTTCATATATGGGAAAAATCCGATATATAAAGGAAATCGACCCACCAATGAACAATTTCAGAATTTGGAGTCAACACCATCTTCTATTGCGGCTAATACCTCTTCAGCATCCATTATGAATTAAGACCAGGTGATACCATATTTGACAGCCTATTTGAAAGCAAAGGGGCCATTAAATTGCATCTCATTCATTGTTTTTATGGGAGCCCGATGAATCTCTTAAATAAATAGGAAACGATGAAATTACCAGAAAGAAGGAAAAGCCAAAAATTACGAATTATTAAAGAAGATTTAAGACATTTGTTCGGGAGACTGGACCTACTGTACTCATTACTTTGTTATCATATTCTTGTTAGTTAGGAGGATTTCCAATAACACAAAAGGTAGACTTGATCAGTCATGGCTTTCCTTATAATGTAGGATTGAATATTTGGGAACTCAAGACTTTATTTGAAAACACAAAGAAACCTAGTTCAAATATATTGAAAATATTATTATTTTCAAAATACTGTGTGGGTTGTTTTCTCTCTCTGACTCACGCGGTATCAATTTTATATTTATTGTTATTTGACTTTGTATTCGATTTTCAAAATAAACAAAAACATGTTGTAAATTTAAATTGTTTAGAGAAAATATTTAGACAAATCGATATGTCATTCCCTCAAAAATATTAGTCTCTTTTTTTTTGTTATGTGTGATTCTACTCTAAGATTACTTAGGAGGGTACCATCGCTGGATGATTTCCCTCATCTTGTGTTTCATGTGTTATTATTTTGTATGTATATAGTGTTATGTCAGTCATCCATTTTACTTATTGTGTTACGTAATACAGATTGTAAAATTTCTAAAATAAATGAAAAAAAAAAAGATTACTTAAAAACATAGAAAAAATTATTCTGCTTAAATGCGTTACGTCCATATGTTGCGCGTGGGCCAGAGAGAGGAAATAAATAGTGCGCTGACATCCTCTTAAGTATACAATAATAGTGGTTTTAAAAAAAAAAAAATATTCAAACAATACTTGAAGGTTTTGGCAATACATTTTCAATCGACCAAAGAAATATATGGAAAAGTGTTACTGAAACTGCCAACTTGTCAATGATTTGATAAATCGTATTCTTAGTTTGAAAATTGATGGTGACATACGTTTGGATCAATCAATACTAGAGATTAATGTACAATTTATTTCTGATAAAAGTACCCATGTTGTAAAAACACTAGCAATAATATTGTACTTACAGAATCTCATTAGTTACTAAAAAAGTATGATATTAAACAACAACAAATATTGACAATTACTAGCGATAATGCACGTAATATGGTTAAAATGGTAGAATGTATGAGTAATATTGAAAGAGTGAAGACCATTTTCATAAAGTATCTTGACATAAAAACAATTGGATAGCATCGTAATAAGTAGATGCTGCAAATGGTACCCGCCGTTTTTCCCGAATGAACTTTTTCCCGAATGGTATTTTGCCCGAAAATCCAAAAACCCGAAACCTTTTTTCCCGACGGTTATTGTTCCCGAAATAAAAGTTGGCGTATTTTCTATGTATTATATTTTATACCTCTATAAGATAAAGATAGTATTTACGAAACAGTACGGGTATTTTACCTTTATCGCAATTTGTGTATTGTGTATAATATATATATATATATACTATTACTATCATTGCCACACGAACATTTAATTGATTTGTAGTGTACACCTATAATCTATATCATCGAGCGCTTGTCACGCGCTTTATCATTCGCGTACTATTAGTTGTCGTAATTCCACAGAATAACCAGAATGGACACACGCTGAGCACTCAAAAATCTGTTCAACTTTGTGGAATATCAGTGTATCCATGTATATAATAAAAATGTAAAATTCTTTCTGTCTGGTCACACTGATAAGGGTTTGTTTACTAACTTTCGACATCAGCTGTCCATATATCTGCGATTGTTTACAAAACATCAGTTTGACTTTTGCGCTCTTATTTGAAATTAATATTTTAATTATTTTATTAATTAAGAAATTAAATCAAATTAATCGTAATTTTTGTTTTTTAAATGTATTCGGGAGGAAATAGATGTTGCTTGCTGTACTGCACCAGCATTTCTTCCTCAAAAATTGAAGGAACAAAATTCCATAGATTTCCGAAGGATCTTGCAAGGTAAGCAATATTAATTAGTTATTGGAAGTTAAATCAAAAAGCAAATTCATCAAATGCTATTTTATTTCTATGTGTATTATATTTAATATTATACATATATTTGTTTTAACCAAATTTAGATGTGACGTTTGGATTGAAAAATGTGGTCCAATAAATTTACCTTCTATTGAACCTATAGTTTTGTACAAAAACTATAGAATATGTTCCTTACATTTTGAGGATAAAATGTATATAAATGCTGAAAAGTCAAGGCTCTCAATTAACGCAATACCAACGTTGTTTAAAGGTAAGCATCATTATTCATTGTTTACTTGTATACCTAGTGTACACTGGCTAGCGTTGTGCAAAGCTGGTCACTACCTAATTAGAAAGTAAAAATTAAGTAATTTGTAATTATTATTTTTTTTTAACTAGGTAACATTGTAGAAAATGAAATATCATCCTTACATAATAGTGAAGAACTGATACCGTTAAATGACCAATTTGCAATTGACGACCCTCCATCTTGTTCGACACCTCTTGCTTCTCAATCTTGTTCAATACTACGTATGTTACAGCTTATTTTAAATGTTTCTACTGTATTTGCAGATCAGCCTAATCCTATTATAATAACTAAGAATCTATTATTCTTTGTTTTAGGTTCAATCAGTGTTGATTCATATGACGCTTCTACCTCTGTTGAAACATCTTCGTCAAGTGTTCAAACACCAAACTTTTTGTCTTCAGGAACACCACGAAAACGGGTACTTCGACATAGACTTACCAATGCTCTCAACACTGTAACAGAATTAAAAAATCAACTACAACATACAACCACAATTAAATACTGCATGCAAGTTTGTAAACAACACTTACCACCATCAATTTTCTTAATAGTAGAGAATAATTTTCAAAACAAAGACAAGTCACAGCGCGGCCAACGATATTCCAAGCAGATAAAGCAATTTGCACTAACAATTTATTTCATCAGCCCCGGTGTGTTTAATTTTCTTCAAAAATCATTGTCTCTTCCAACTGTTCGGACCTTAAGGAGAGTCACTGAGCAATATGATTTACAACCCGGACTAAATGATTTTCTATTTGACTTCTTAGAATTCAAAATCAGCACCTTTAAACCTGAAGCCTTAGATTGCTTTTTATGTGCAAACGAAATGTCTTTGAAAACAAATTTGTTTTACAATGTTTCTAAAGACCAAATTATTGGCTTTAACCAATCTGGTGCATTTAGAACTTACGAGCCAGCTAAATATGCTCTTGTTCTAATGATCAGAGGAATCAACAGCAATTGGAAGCAGCCTATTGCATATTATCTTGTTTCCAACAGCTGTTCTGGCACTGATCTGAACCTCATAATTTTTTCAACTATACGCAGACTTCGAAGTATTAAACTGAATGTGAAATCATTCATCACTGATCAAGGTTCAAATTTTATTAAATTTTCCAATTCCAATCATGTCACTCCTGAAGAACCATTTTTTGAAGTGGATGAAGAAAAAGTGATTTATATTTTTGACCCACCTCACTTATTAAAGTCAACAAGGAACATGTTTTTTAAACATATGATAGAAATCAATGATGAAGTGGTGGACAAAAAATATTTGGATATCTTTTACAACTATGATAATAAATGTAATCTTCGAATGGCACCAAAACTAACTTACTTTCATATTCACCCCGGTCCATTCGATAAGATGAAAGTTCGTTTAGCAGCCCAAGTATTTAGTGTGGACTATGCAAATTGCCAAAAAACTATAGACAAATCGTTTCTATTATCTTTTTTTAAATCATATTCTTCAAACAATGACTCTAATTTTGGTAAATTACTAATGCCCCACAATGATTTTTATAATTATATACTTAAGTTAGAAAATATTTTTATTGAACAGTTTCCAATAATTGCCATAAGAGATAATGTTGGTTATCTTTTAAATGATTTTCTATGTAATGTACGTTTTAATCATCCATGTGAGTTATTTAATAAGCAATTTCTTATGAAATTATTTATTCGTTTTAGAATTTTTTATAGTGTTAAATTTTTAAATAGAACAATGTTATCTGAAACTAAACGTAAAAATAGGAAATTATCAATTCTAAAACATTTATAATTAATATTATTAAATTTTGTGTCATATTTTACCATTTTATACAACTTTTTATAATTAATTGACTAAAAAAATTACTAATATGTATAAAGGTATCTACCGTATAAGTACCTACTTAATATTATACAATACACATTTTTTATTTTTGTATATATGTACCTAGGTAGTTGTAACTTGTAAATATATTATATACATGTAATTGTAATAAATTTGTTTAAACCTACAATGTATTTTGAGATTTATTTGTTCAATGCACCTATGATCTAAAATATATATTTCATGATCTACACTTACCTATGCTAGACAAAAAATGTTATGTTATTAATTTAAAATATACATTTTATAATTCAAATAAAAATTAACTAACACAGAAATTGAAAAATCAGTTATTCACTTTACAGAGTACAGACTTCATATTTTGGAACATAAACACAAAAGACACTGAGGCGAGTAAGCAAGTTGCAAACTTGCAACTTACAACTTTATTACTTATTAGGTTAGGCTAAAGCACAATTATAAAGATTCTTTATAATCGTCGGCTAAAGGTAATTACTAATTGCCTCTGTTCAGGGAATATCAGTCGCGCTAGAAACAAAGAATAATGGGAATTATCTTTCTACCGGCAGCACTGATATTCCACCAGGTGTTGCAAATCTGTGCCCCATAAGAACCCATGTTAAACTGAAAAGGTGTCTCTTCTGGTTATTCTGTGGTAATACTCTCATTTTCATTTTCAGTGCGTTATATTGTATAAGCTTTTTTTAATTTTATTTTACTTCACCATCATGGCTGAAATTAAAATTTTGGGTGAAACAAAGTTAGTTTATGGTGGTTTTATATACTTGCGGTCAAAACGAGGGATTCATCCACGTTATCCGCCAAAAATTTGGAATCAGTACCAAGCAGTTCTAACTGGTTCGCATAAGACCAACAACGTAAGCGAGGGGTGGTACAATCGCTTCCAGCTTGTCGTTGGAAAACATCATCCTGACCTTTTCTCTGCTCTCGGCGAGTTCCAAAAAGAACAAGGTGATGTAGAGATAATGATCTCAGAGCTGAGTCTAGGGCGAAAAGTAAGAGCTCAGCCAAAAAGAAAATGGCGAGACTTTCAGATGCGAATTATGGCCATTACTGCTGACTTTAATACATACCAAGAATTAGATTTTCTGAAGGCAATCGCGCATAATATTGTTTTATGAAATTATTTTGTATTTTGTTTTTTTTTTATTATTGGTCAATTTATATGTATCACTACAGTGTACTTAAATTAATTAATTTTTATATTTCATACGTATTATAATTTAATTATTTCAAAATATTTTATTACACTACATGATTTATTATATTATTATTAATTTTACCAATTAATTTTTATATTTTATACGTTTTATTATTTATAGACTTTGAAATATTTAACATTAGGTACATTACATAATTTATTATATTATTATTACTTGTATTAATTTATTTTTATTTTTATATGTATTATAATTTATATTCGGGAAAAAAGGTTTTGGGTTTTCGGATTTTCGGGTAAAATACCATTCGGGAAAAAGTTCATTCGGGAATTTTGATTCGGGCAAAATACCGGTAACCGCTGCAAATATTATGTAGGTAATCAAACGTTTTCCTAAACGTTTGACATAATCGATGGTGTATCATCGTCCATCGATTACTACCAAGTGTACTAATAGTACTACCAAGGTAATAATTATATTGTTGTTAACAATTTATAAAATGTTCAAATTTTATATCTAAGGATTGAAAATTTTAAACATGGTTCCATGTAAATAGGTTGTGTATTATAAATTACTTTATTCACAATAATATTATCAAATATACTTAGTAATATTATAGGCTGACTGACCGTTTCGCTCAGAATCTTTTTTCTTATACAATGATAATATATCATTGAACTCAAATTTATCACCATCCATTATGTGACCTACTTTTAACCTACTGTACAACAGAGTAACATCCACTTGCCCACCTTTTTAAATTTAAATTGTCAGTTAAACGGACATTTTCAGTTTTCAATTTTTTTAGTTTTTTTTTCTATAAATATCAGTAAAATTGTATTTGTTGGGTAAAAAAGCGTGAAAATTTATTGCAAATCTCCTGATATATTGTTACAATAACACTTGAAAAATATTAAAATACATAAGCACAATTTTTTTTATAAGCATTTAAAGTTCAAATTTTGACAAAATTTATCACATTTAAAATTTAATAATAATTATGTAGTTAAAAAGGTATAAAATGTTGAACTTTTATAGCTAAGGATTGAATATTTAAAACAAGATTCCACGTAAATAGGTTATATATAAATTACTTCATTCACCTTAGTATCATAAAATATACTTCGTAATATCATATGTTGACTGACCGTCTTCGCTCAGAATCGTTTTTCTTTTACAATGATATTATAACATTGAATTCAAATTTAACACCATCCATTACAGTAACCCAGTTGTAACCTAATGTACAGCAGAGCGACATCCACCTTTTAATTTTAATGTTCATAGAAATAAGACAATTTTTAATTTTTAATGTTTTATTATAAATAATATCAAATATGGCACATAATCCAGATCAATTCGTTTTGATTGACTTTATAACTTATGTTTGGGGGTATTATGCAATACACGAAATACGTTACTTCGAAGCTCTTAAGCATCAAACTTTTATGTTGGAAATGTTAGTCCGATATGATAATTTATAGCCCATTTGATTAATCATAGAGGTCTTTAATACTCGCATTGCATAACTGCTATATATTTTAATTTTTAGACGGTAGCGATTGGAAGGAGACCGATAGCGACTTTCGAGGAGCAGACGGATGACCTAACGAGTCAATTTATTTTGAGTTTTTTAAAGTTATGTTGTATAGTATGTATAGTGATAACACGTCTTGCTGCGCTTAAAGTAGTGTTGAGCGCATGTGTATAAACGTAAAATCGCAAACTTTGGCTGAAACTTCCAAAATAATCATTTCCGCAAAATAATTTTTACACCATCGTTTTAAACTCGTCGAAATACATAGGTTTCCGACCAAAAAAAATTAAAAATTCGCGTGGGCGCTAAACTAAAATTATGCCATCGTTTTTATGGTACTACACAACATATTATATGATGTTGTGTCCGCGGTAAGCCGGTCGTTATGTGTTGGTGGTACTCACTAAAAGAAAGAACAAAAAAAAAAATGCAACGCAGATCTCGTTTAGAATGCCGGTGTTATTATGGTGTAAAAGAAACAAAGCGTTGTTGGATACTGTGTGACAAAAATGCCGAATCGATGACAGTAGTCGCTGGCATAGTCGCGTTGTCGGTGAACGAGAGAGATTCCGCCGGCACCCAGTACTCGTCCAGTGCGACTTGTCTTCCCGTCCCGCCTTGTGCCTGTGTAGCGAACTGGGAGAGTCGACGGTGTCGGGACAGAAAAGAGATTAATACGCACCGTCGTAGGCCGTGGTGGCGGTTGGTAAAGTGTTGTGATTTGCTCAGATCAGATACGCGCTCTGGTGGTATATATTTTAACTAGAGCAACTAGGCAACCTGAAAACAGTCGAAATGTCGACTATAAAAAAAAAAATAATCCGTTCCACGAGAGAGTGCGACCGCTATGCTATCGAAATGAATTAGCTCCGACGTCGCGGGGCTAAATTTCCCGCACCATGTGGTGTCCGCTCGCTGTATACAGCGGCTCAAGTAATGCACCACAAATATTAACCTCGACTAACCATTATAATATAATACAGTGTGTTTCCTTTTAATATTCAAATATTCAACATATTCCAATCCACTGACCTCGGATTGTTATGGGATTTTCGGAAGGAGTTAAGGAATACATAAATACACATTTTTTGATGATTTTCAAATGTTTATATCATTCAGTATGCACTTGCACAATACAACTTGCTATTTTTTTCAGTAATTTTGATCTCTTAACCATGGCTCTAAACCCAAAATTGACTGATTGACAATGAGCAAATATTTTAATTTAAATTATTGAGTTTTTCAACCATTATCCTATTATTTTACAAAATAAACCTATTTTTTTCACTCATATTTAACATGTTTTTAGACATTAAGAGAAGATCTTATGCATACGTTGCCTCTATCTTACACACGTTTGACATACCAAATTTTAGTTCACCAGTTTCAATAGTGTGCTCAGTGTTGTTAGTTTTGATATTAGAGTAAATCGACCAATTATCAAACTTTTAGGTAAGAACGTTATCTGTGTCCTCTCGTTGTTTTTTTACAATATTTTGAATTTTAATTGAGTTATGAGAATTTACAAGTATTAATATTTTACATACTCATAACAAACTTATAAATTAAAATATCGAACACAGATAATGTTCTTATCAATCTTATCTATAAAAGTTTAATGATAGATCGATTCACTCTAATATCAATACATCATACTATTGAAACTGATGAACGAATATTTGAGATGTCGAACGAGTGTAAGGCGGAGACAAAATATGCATGTGCGACGTCCTCTTAAATAAATAATTTTTAATACTTATTTGTCATGAAGTATACGTTTACCTCAATCTTTTTAAGAACTAGGAAAAATGTGAACAAATTAACACAGCATTTATAGTTTCTATGATTTATTAAAAATATTAATTAATATCAATACCTATCTTAAAAATTGTTCAAAATTTAGGCCATCATTCTCCATGAATGACTGCAGACAGAGCATTACTTCCCTTTGAGTAGCAGCTAAAATTTGTTCTCTTTGAAGTTCTGCATAAGCATTTACAATTTTATCTATGAAGTCCTGAACATTTAAAGGTGGAGTTGAATAGACAAAAATTCCGTATATTTCCGTCAAAAATTCCAAATATCTTCTCCCAGTAAGCGTACCATCAAAAATATTATGGACCGAGGATTTTTCCATCGGGTAACCCACACCAAACGTTACTTCCCCAAACTGTTTGGTTATCTATCAGTAGTTCAGTATGGATTGTTATCTGCCCAATAGCTGTTATTTTGTTTGTTAATTACCCCATTATTGGTAAATTTTGATTCGTCGGTCCAACAGATATACCGTAATAATTTCCTACGCTGAGCGTCACCGGGTACTAACTTTTGTACTAAATTAGACCTATTAGGTTGTAATTTATTTTTTTTTCAAAATATTATGGATTTTTTTACAAGAAATTCCAATTTCTTTACTTAAATGCCTAATGGAAGACCGTTTAAATGCACGTAAGCCAATACCTGTAATTCTTCTATTTTGTTGGCCTCTCTATCAAACTCTCTTCGATTTAGCCGATTATCTCCCTGTCTTGTGGTAGCTCACCACTATTTCTTAAAAACGATTCAACTCGAATAAAATAATTATGAGAAGGGTGATATCGATCAGGATATCGTTCTGCATACAATCTAGCACTTAGCAGCTGCTCGAGATTCAAGCTGCATTCACCATAAACTAACTATTGAAATTGTAATAATACGTATCACATACGAGTTATTAACTGGTTATGCATTTTAATAACCACGTTTAATCGAATGCTATATCTTATTATTAATTTATAATATTAATTAATTTATAATTATTAATTTGGCAGAAATAATTTAGTAATGATGTCATTAATATAGAAACATTTAGACACATAATGCATGTTATTCTTAGCGCACGATAGTTGATAAGTAAAATTTTATTTATTTAACAAAACTAAAATGAAATAATTTTTAGAGATTACCAGTAATCTAGGTAGTTATTATTTCTATAAATTATTTTTATTTTAAACGATATTATTATTGATATTCTTTACCAAATAAAACGGTATAATGACCTGTCTAAAAAGAAAAAGGTAAATTGCACGGAAATTCATAATATTTTCGGATGATAAATTGTTGAAAAAATCAATAATTTAAATTAAAACATTTGCTCGTTGTTATTCAGTCAATTTCGGTGTTAGAGCCATGGTTAAGAGGTTAAAATAATAAAAAGACTTAAAAAATTTGGTCTGCCGAATTTGATATTTAAAACACTGTTGCCATTCAAAAAATAGCAAGTTGTATTGCACTTGCGCACACTGAAAGATATAAACATTTGAAAATATTTTTTTATGTATTCCTTATAACTCGTCCCGAAAACCCCATAAGAATTCGAGGTTACTGGATTGAAATATGTCGTGTTACATTTAAATGAAAAACACACTGTATATCAGTATACGAGTTATTTTTTATGAAATAAGTATTATTTCTTTTTATTATTACTTTTAGATTCTGAGTGAAACGATGAATGTATTGATTTTACAATGATGTGTGTTTTTATATTTTTTTATTTTTGTGTCTGTGTACACGATAAGTGGTCGAAATAATTCTTCGATTTTCAACTTCAGTATCTTGTTCGATTGGAAAGTGAACAGTGGCGTAGCGTGTGCGTATGCTGTGTATGCACAGCATACACTTCACAAATTGAAAAAATATTTATTTTTTATATTAATAATTTAATATGTTTATAAAAAAATGTTTGATTGTATTAATTTAATATTTTATAATATTATAATATTTTCTATATTTTCTTCTAAGTTCATTAGGATTGATTAATCCGCAACACTACGGCCGCCTCGCGGTTTTGTCCGTTATATTTATATCTAATAGCTAGTACATGACGTTCATTACGTACGCAGTATGCACGCTGGCAATTGCATACGGGTACAGACATTTGGCGACAGCTATTTATATTTCTTATCGATAATATTAATAAACAAACATAGAATTCTGGCGGTCGTGTTTTCGTCACTCGTGTATACAGGATCAGTATTGCATACGCTATTGCATAGAGCCGTCTGTCGTATATTCTGCCGGCTATAAGTGCGTATTATTAATCGTATATTATAAGACAGTGTGACATATCGTTTTAAATTAAAACTATTTAAACTAAATAAACAATAATGAATACAAATAATACAATATGTAAGGGTGCAATTGAAAAATTATTTTTAAAGCCTTTCAGTTCACTCAATTTTGATGAAAAAAAAAATATAATTGAGTTAGGAAGACCCACACCAAAATTACCTGATTTAACGACAATATCAAAAAATTATGTTCGAACATTTAAATATGAGTATTACAGTACATATAAGTGGTTATCGGGTTGTAAAAAAACAAATAAGCTATATTGTTGGCCTTGTGTTATTTTTTCTCGCGAAGAAAATGTTTGGACCAAATATGGTTTCAACGATCTTAATAGTTTTCATCATTTAAAAAGTCTTCACGAAGCCTCTAAAAATCACATACAATGCTTAATAGATTTAACTAAATTTGGTAAAATAAGAATAGATACTTGTTTGAGTGAAGCTTTTAGAAAAAAATATCGAAAAACATAATATTACAGTTAAAAATAATAGATACATATTAAGCAGTATGATAGATCCAACGTGTTTTTTAGCTCAGCAGGAATTGGCATTTAGAGGCCACGACGAGTCAGATTCATCTGTTAATAGGGGTAATTATGTTGAACTTATTTACTTAATGGCCCAGCGTGATGAGTTGTTAAAAACACATCTTGCAACGTCCACTATATTTACTGGTTTATCTGGGGACATTTAAAATGACTTGATTCAATCAATTTCAAATGTTCTTCTTAAACAAATTGAAAATGAAATACGCAATACTCCGTTTGTTGCAATAATTATGGACGAGACAACTGATATTGTTTCAAAGTCACAGTTATCAACAGTGTTGCGTTTGTTAATACCATAGATGGTTACGAAGTTGTCGAGAGATTTTTGGGATTTACTGATGTTAGTGAAGATCGATCAGCGAAAGCATTATCAGAGCATGTATTTATTTTATTTCAAAGTATGCATGTGAAGAAAAATTAATAGCCCAAACGTATGATGGGGCAGCTGTCATGTCAGGGCAACATAATGGTTTACAATCGCTAGTGCGTTCGAAGTATGAAAATGCTATTTTTGTACATTGCTATGCACTTAAATAAAATCTTGTCTTAAAACAGTCAGTTGAGTATATTAAAGATTGTAAAATATTTTTTTCAACCCTTTCTGGTTTATCGTCTTTTTTTTCAAAATCTACCAAACGAGTACATGCACTTGACAATGTAGTTAAAAAACGTTTTCCATCAGTAGCTCCAACAAGATGGAATTACAATAGTCGTCTTATTGAAATGATGGTTGAACATAAACTAGATGTTATAAATCTAATGGAATCAATCATAGAGAATGCCCAAAATTGGGATTCGGAAACATTGTCTTCTGCTAAAGGGTATGTGGAAATTCTTCAAAGTTTTGATTTCAATTTTTTTCTTAAATTATTTTCAATCATTTTACCACAAGCAACGATTATTTTTGATATTTTACAAAAAAAAATTTTCGGTGAACTTTCGGTTGTCTACTCGACCGAAGAATTTCAAAAACCTAATGTTCACGATCTCTTAATTTATTTAAAAACCACAAATTTAGACGAAAACTTACCACAAGCAACAAAATTTATTTCATTTATACTAACTATTCCAGCTACTAGTGCATCAGCAGAACGTTCATTCTCGGCCCTTAAAAGGATTAAGAATTCAACAAGAAATTCCCAAGAACAAAATCGTCTTTCATCATTATCAATGCTGTCAATAGAAAAAAAATTATTGGTAGAGTTGAAAAAAAAATCTACGTTTCATGATGAAGTAATCAAAGCTTTCCTTACTAAAAATAGAAGAATTGATTTAATATATAAGTAATTTTGTAGTTAATAATTTTATTATTTTTAAAAAGTGATTTATTTTTTGTTTATTAAATATAATATTGTGCTATTATAAGGTAATATATATTAAAAATTAGGTAAAACTTTGTATGTTTCAAGTTTTATATTAAGATAAGTGTAGGGCCAAATGTAAACTCCTACACGAATAACCTTTTTACCTGAATCATCATTAAATGTAAACTCCTACACTAATAACCTTTTAAAATTTTTACCTGAAAATCAAAGATATTGTAATCTCCTACATAGACATTTTTCCCTTTAAAAAATAGGGTAATATTACTTAAATTCACAATTTTAAAGTTAAAAAGCTCAAAATTATCATAACTTGAAAAAAATAAATATACATTATTTAATGAACAAACGCTTGAATAGAGCTTGTTTGTACGCTGTATGATAATTCTTGAAGGTTAGATTATATCCATATTATATACTATACTATACGTTCATATCGGCTGCACTTGCAGTACAAAATGTTTTAAATAGATCAGCGATATGGCATCGAATATTGTTGAATAACGATAAAACAAGTCATAAAAATATACGTAAATGATTATGAATTAGTATTGTTTTATTGAATTTTTTATTATTTTTTTTCAAAAATTTTTTTTTTAAACGTACCTATGTGATTTTGACTATTGTTTTATTATATTTTTCAAATAATTTTTGTTTTAGGATTAAATGATTATGACTATTATTTTATTAACACTTTTATTATCTATATTTTAAAAATTTTGTTTTAAACGTAAATGATAATGATTATTCAGATTATTGTGTTATTAACATTTTTGTTATATTTTTCAAACCATTTTTATTTTATGTGTTAATATATTGCAAGACTGATATTTTTTACAGCAATACGAGCGGTATTAATTTTTTGTAGGAGTTAACACTATCTTTTATAGGAGTTAACACTATCTTTTGTAGGAGTTAACACTATCTTTGGTAGGAGATAACACTACATTTGTAGGAGTTTACCATTCCCCAAGTGTAGGGGGTGTGGGGGCTATGCCCCCCACGATTTTATTAACTTACAACTTCAATGCATACACTAAGCTGAAGCGCACGCTACGCCTCTGAAAATGAATATGGTTGGTGCATGGGGAGGTCAAAATTTAAAATTCCCAGTAATTTCCAAAAGAGCCAAGAAAAATTAAGGAAAAACGGGAATTTTTACGCAAAATCGATTTTTCACAAAATTGAATTTGGTTTTTGGTGTAACTTTAAAACAAATGACTGTAGATACATGGAATTTTCACTGGTTGTTTATATTTGCATTTTCTATACAAATAGAAGATAGTTCTGTCCTGACTGTGACAGAGGTAAGACGTGTGTTCTTGCTTCGTACTAAAATTAATTTTATCTATACCGGTTAATTTATTAGTTTATATAGTATATATATATACATTTTTGCGAAAGTCTTCGTTTCTACTCATACGCTAGTATATTATCTTATTTTTGTTTCGTCTATTGATCGATATCTTATCTAATTTTATTGTGCCAATACTTATTACGATTATAGATAATTCCGTTAGAATGTGTGAAATGCTGTGATGCATTAACGAAAAGTGAATCTATGGAATGTTCGATTTGTAATAATGTGGCACATTACTATTATGTGGGATGTACGGAAACGAATTTTAATAGAATGACTAATAATACTAAATCGAAATTTACTTGTTCAAACTGCTCAAAAGTTAATCAAAAATCTCAAAAATCAAATGAATCAGTGTTACAGAATCCGAAGTCTGTAGAAAAAAACATTGAAGAGCTTATGAAATCAGTTTTATTTTCGAGCTCGCCGTTCGACAATTTTAATGAAAAAATTAATAGTGTTATTATAGAATTGAAAACTATTAAATTAGAAAATGAGAAAATTATTAATGAAAATAAACGTTTATCCGAAGAAGTTACTATATTAAAACACAAAATTGATTCAATTGAACAGCACAATCTTGGTATAACAGTAGAATTAACAGGCATACCTAAAACTCAAAATGAATATTGTGTTTCCATTATTGCAGAAATTGGTAAAAAAACAAATACGGAACTGAATATTATCGAAGCCTACAGAATTCATTCTACTATGTCCAAACAAAATATAATAGTAGCTAAACTAACTACATTTGAAATGCGGAAAAATTTAATACGTAATGTTAAATCGTTGAAGGTAACTGCGGATATGGGAAATAGTAAATGGGCAAAGGATAAGGTGTTCATTAATGAGCGGCTACCTAAATTAAAAAGGATGCTTTTATCTCAAACCGGGTTAGAGGCTAAAAGTAAACAATATAAATTTATATGGATATCTAAATCCGATATTCTGGTGAGGAAAAATGACAATTCAAATATTATAAAAATCAGATCATCTGAAGACGTTGATAAGCTTTGATTAGTTAATATTTATAATGTTAAAATATCTTTAAATTAATAAATTAATTTTCAATGAATAATAATAATACGCTAATTGTAGATAATATTTTAAATTCTATTTATGTTGACTCTTTAGTAGATATACCTTTGTCTAATGATAGTTTCTCCGTTTTTCAAATTAATATAAGTAGGTAGTATTAAGGACTATTTTAATGATGTTGTAACCTTATTAGGCTCAGTAAATAATCTTTTTAGTGTTATTGTACTATGTGAAACCTGGCTTCTGAATGATTTTGAATTTAAATTAAATGGCTATAAAACTATTAATTCGTTAGGAACATTAAATAAATGTGATGGCGTAACTGTATTAGTAAGAGAATCTTTAAACATAATAACAGTTAATACACAAGTATTAAAAAATTGCAATTCATTACACATTACTCTTAAAATAAATAATTTATTCCATCTATTTTGTATTTATAGATCTCCTAATGATAATATTGATAACTTTACCAATAATTTAGAATTATTCTTATCTAGTTTGTATAAAAAAAATGTACATAACATTATCTGTGGAGATATTAATATTAAAAAAATGAATATTATTAATAAAATTACAAATAAAGATGGTATTATCGTTGAATCTAAAACTGAAATTTGTAATGAGTTTAATGACTTTTTTATAAATGTAGGAAATAATTTAGAAATAGAACATATAAATTCTGCTGATATTTACTTTAACGATAAAAATCAGAGCAATAACAGTATTTTTTTTAATCCAATTAGTAGTGAAGAGATTAGTGAGTATATTGATAAGATTAAAAATTTTAATTCATATTATGAACATGGTCTAACAAACTATATCCTTAAGAAAATTTCTAAATCTATTTATTTACCGTTATCGTTAATTTTTAATAATTCTTTATTAAAAGGTGTTTTCCTTTAAGTTTTTAAAAAAGGTATTGTTGTTCCACTATTTAAATCAGGTGATAAATTATCATATGGAAATTATAGACCTATCTCACTTTCTTTAACTATATCAAACATTTTTGAGAAATGTATTAAAAACCGTTTATTAAATTACTTTAAAAAGAATTCATTTTTCTCTAATTCACAGTTTGGTTTTTTGGCTGGTTTGTCAACAAGTGATGCTCTTTTTAAACTTGATAACTTTGTTCGTAGAAAATTGACATTAATTACAAAGTAATGGGTATTTTTCTAGACGTGCAAAAAGCCTTTGATA